ACTAAACCTCGACGCAACACCAGGGGACCCTGTCCAAAGACTGGTCGGTGAAGCCCCTGGCCGTGAGACGCGAGGCCAGAGGTTCAACTGGTGAGCGGCGTACCGAGCCGCGTAGGGCCACAGAAAATGGGGCGCGCGGGCGTGGATCATGGAGGTGCGGGCAATCTCCATGACCAGGCCTAGGCGGCGCTCAGCAACCCCATTCTGCTGTGGAGAGTCTGGAAGAGTCCAGGACTGGGTGATGCCCTGCTCAGCACAGAATCTAGCGAGAATGCCGGAGCGAAACTCACCCCCACGGTCAGAGTGGAGACAACTGACACGACGACCACGAGTTCCCTCGGTGGCGAGGAGCCACCTGAATCAGCGTAGAAGTCACGTCGGACTTCTTCGCCAAAGGGAACACGGTGGTGTACCGAGAGTAGTCGTCAACGACCACCAGAAAGAAACTCTCCCGCTCAGGGCCAAGGCGGGGAGCGGGGCCCCAGACGTCCAAGTGGAGAGTCTCAAAGGGCTCGGTGGCCGGACGAAGGGAGGAGGAGTGAGGGGTGGCGCGCAGCCGACCCTGGACACAAGGACCGCACGGAGGAGCTGGGGACGGCGGGAGTGGCGGGAGGACTCGGGGGAGGCCTAAGACAAGACGCTGACTGGACATAGCGCGGAGACGAGGGAGGGACGGGTGCCCCATCCGGTGGTGCCACAGAACGGTGGGGTGAGCAAGCGACCGGCAGGAGCACGACGCAGCAACTGGACCTGATGTGGGGACCCGACCAGACGCAGCAACTAGACCGGACACAGCAACCTGACTGGACCTGGCGACCTGGTGGGACGGAGAAACCTGACGAGGGTCGGTGTGGAGGGTGTAGAGACCGGAGCCCGGCTCCTGGCGAAAAGTGGCCAAGGGGGCGTACGTGTCACCGTCCACACAGACTGCAGTGTCACCAGAAGGCTCAACCCAGACCCCGACGTGCTGTCTCGCCAGAGAGCCCACACCAACCAGGTTCCTAGAGAACGTAGGAACGTGGAGGCCAGTCAGGGAACCGGAAGGGGCAGCTGGGCACGGGAGTGTAGTGGCGTGAGTCGCAATGACCGGTCCCGAAGTGGGATCGGCCAGTGCTACAGGGACAGGCGCCGGTAGCGGAGAGAGAGTCGTGCAGTCGCGGAAGAAGCAGTGCGACGCTCCTGAGTCCAGTGTGAAGGAGAGAGACGCGTCCGCCGAGGGAGTACCTGTACTAGTAGCTAAACAAGATCCTACACTAGCACCTACTCTAGCAACAGGCAAAGATCCTAAGCTAGGTACAGGCAAGTAAACAGATCTAGGAGCACTATAGTCAACATCAGCATACATGGCATAGGACCTAGCATCATCCATAGTCATATCAAAAACAGCAATACCACGAGCAAGAAGCGTCCCCCAGCGTGGCGGCGGGGGAGCGGAGGGGCCGTGGTGCAAGAGGTAGAGGTCGTCGAGACGACTGAAGCAGCGTGCAGCAGAGTGGTCGGGGCGGCCACAGTACGAGTCCCGACGAGGACCCGTAAGGATCCAGTACTCACAGGGACCAACGTCGCGGCCGGCCGAGCGAGGTCCCCGACTGGAGAAGGCGGCACTGCGCCCAGTGCTCGGGGGGCCCACAGACCTCCACTGCTGCGGAGGGCCCCACTGCTGAGGCTGCTGCTGTGGCGGGCGCTGCTGCTGGCCCTGTCGCTGCTGCTGCTGCTGTCCAAGCTGTGGCAGCTGCTGAGAAGTCGGCTGCTGCTGCTGCTGCTGGAACCCCTCACCACCAGTGAAAACTCCACCGTCGAGAGGAGGGCCGACAGGGCCCAAGCCACCTCCACCACCACTCCCACCACCTGCCCCACCGCCGCCGCCACTACCCGCACCACCCCCAGTACCCCCGCCGCCCTTCCCGCCCTTCTTGCCGGCCTTGCCACGTTTCTGTCCGCCAGAGACAGAAACAGCCGCCGTCTCCTCAGAGGCAGAAGACGCGGGGGTGGCAAGTGAGGCAGTGAAGGTGGGAAGCTGTGGTACCGCACACCCCTCAAAAAGACGAGGAGGAGGCGCGGAAGAGGCAGAGGCAACAGTGAGGAGGTTACTCTCGATCTTCGAGAGAGCGGTCTCAAGAAGATCGATGGTAAGCTCAGTGGGGTGCTTCAGAAGAAGCGCGTCGCGGGCTGTGGCTAGGCGGTCAGGGAGGCGAGTGACTAGCCAGTGAATAGTGAGCCACATAGGGGGCGGGGCAAGGGCAAGCTGGTCCTCAGTGCAAGCAGCGCGAAAGCGAGCGTCAAGGGAGCGCAGGTGAGTAGCGAGGTCAGAGACAGTCTCAAAGGAGGCGAGGTCAGGGTAGATAAAGGGTACGAGGAGGCGACTGAGCGACGCAGAGGAGGGAGTAGAGTAGCGAGCAACAATAGCCTTATACAGATCTGCAGCAGACTCGACCTGAGCGAAGTGGACTGCCTCTGTCGGCGGGAGAAGGTCGGTCAGGGCGAGGCAGGCAGCGGCGTCACGAGACTCCCACACGTCGCGAGCGAGGAGCTGGCGCTGGTACTCGGCCTCCTGCTCAGGAGTAGGCGGTGGGGTAGTGGGCAGCGGGCTAGGCTGCTGGGGAGCGGTCTGAGTACCGGATGCGTGTGCGAACAAGTGCACGCCATCCTGCCGCTGGCTCTTAAGGTGGCGCTGCGCCTGCGTAAGCCACGTGCTAAAATCTATAGGTCGCCCTTCAGGGTCGAAACGAAGTACTCGGGAGGTCGCCATAGAGGGCGAGACTGAGAGAGCGCGACTGCCAGCCGCGGGAGGGGGGGGACAGTCAGTAGCGTGTAGGCAGGCGTGCAGGCGGGTAGGCGGCGTGGCATGTGGACAGGCGGGCGGCGCAACGCGCTGGCTGGCGGGCGGCGCGGCGCGCTGGCTGGCGGGCGGGGCGGTGAGAAGGGGGGGGGACGGGGAGGAGGTGTTCTACGGTGGGAAAGGGGCGCGGAGGGGAGGGCGACTCGACGGGCAGGGGAGGGCGCAGGGCGAGGCGGCGGCGCACGGGCAGGGCACGCAGCTGCGGGCTGCGCGCGGCTACGGGCTGCGCGTGCGGCTGCGGGCTCTGCGCCGGCTGCGCGGGCTCGGCGCGGGCTGCGCGGGCGGTGCGCGGGGCAGCTGCGGGCCGCGCGCGGGCTGTGCGGGCTCAGGGCGGGCTGCGCGGGCGACTTGCAGGGCGCGACGCGGCTGGCAGCAGCAGCGCGCGCTTAAAAAAAAAAGGTAAAACGCACTAAAAAAAAAAGGTAAAACGCGCGCGCAGCCGAGGCGCGCGCGGGCAGGAGGCAAGGCAGACGGGCAGGCAAGGCACTTAAGGTCGTAAAGGAGGTAACACGGTAACCGGTGGGCCCTAATCGTAGGTCCTAAAGACCTACTGCTCTAGATACCATCTTAGACTTAGGCATGGATGGTATGATTAGGTCAAGGGGGGGGTACAAGAGAGAATGTCGAGAGAATTTCTGTACCCCCTAGTACTAACCCCCATATAGCCTAACCTAACTAAACATTCATATGCATTAACAACCCACTAGAGGCTATAATATTTGACAGAAACTAGGCGACCATGCGAAATGCACAGTTGGGCACATTTGATTAGGCGAAAAAAACTACTGTACACCCGTATCTTCAATCTCGCGGGCTGGGGATCCCGCGCGAAATTGGCATTTCGGGAAGACCAGATACATTGACATTTCGAGCCGCATGCGATTTTACAAAAATGACGCGTCGGTTTACAATTCGTCCGCGACGTCAGCGCGTTTCACGCTGACCAATAAAAAATACAGTAATGGTCGCTAAAAAGCGACTCGCGATTGAGACATTGTACGTTCTATGTCGTTTTTATGCGTCACAAACGCTTTGAGACACAAATGTCGACACAGGAATGTACCCTAAGGGGGCTACGACTAACCCTATTTCTCCAGTGCTTCGTTCATTGGTAACCATATCAAGCACCACGCCAAGGCCCTGAAAGCGTGATCCGAAACCCTTAATCCAAACTTACCGGTAAATGACAGAGAATTACTGTATAAACAACAGTGTGGGTGGGCTTACCATCAGTGTATAAACAACAATGTCTTGTCACCCCTTTCGCTGGTGACAGCTCTAAGGCTTTTTCAGCCCAACAGCATGGATAATCCTGTTAGGGATTGTCTCCAGGGAAACGATAGTACCGTAGTAGCAAATTCTGAGTCCCCGCCCCCTAGAAGACAGCACCTCCTCGAAGTCTGAATGATAGCTGCTCTGTTGCTTTGTGCTCGTATACAGAATGCGTTTTTGTAGAGTATCTCCGTGCGAAGGTGATGAAATAATTGAAACGGTAACAGATTAGTGTGTAATTAGCCACCGCTGCTAAAACATATTTAAAGAATGAGCAGAGGGGCGGAGGGAGGCACCTTGGCTACCAGTGTGTTGGTGTCCCACCCAGCAGCAGCTGCCTTGGCAAGGAACCCCTCAAACTCCCTCTCTAGTGCATCAACAGACGACTGTAGAAGGCTATTCATGCCACTGTTGCTGTTGCTGCTGCTGCTACTGCTGCTGCTGCCGCTTCTGTAGGTGACACCAGAGTGGTTCTCCTCCCCAGTTTCTGAGAGCTGTCTGCTCATCTCCCTCCGCTGCTGCTGCAGCCAGCACGCCTGCCACACGACTCTCAGCACTGTCATCTTGGATGCTCCTTGCTGCAGTGGATGGTGGAGGGGAAAGGGAGGGGGTAGGAAGATGAGGGAGGGAGGGGGGGGGGGGGGGGGGCTTAAAGATTCTGCTGCTGCAGCCAGCATGCCTGCCACACAGCCCTCAGCACCGTCCTCTTCGATGCTCCTTGCTGCAGAGAACATGGAGGGTAGTCGGGACAGAGAGGGGTGGAGAAACGAGGAGGAAACGGGCGAGCGGGGTTGCAGAGGGGGCAAGGAGGCGAGGGGGTTGGGGACAAGGAAGGGTGGAAGCAAGACGCGTCTGGGGGTGAGGTGAGTATGTGAAGCGCAAGCGGCGTTTAAGACGACTGAAAAGTCGGCCTCGTTGGGGTTAAGGGAGGGTGGGAATGGGTGCTGGGAGAGTGTGGAGAACAAAGGTGTTGGAAGGCGGTGAGCAAGAAAAAGCGGGATGAAGGAGGGAGAGGTGAGAGAGAGGGGAGAAAGAGAGTGTCACGGCAAGAGAGTGTGACAATCGTAGAGGCAAGATAGGGTACCTTGAACATGACAGAAAATGCGCCGTTGTCATCCATTATAAGCACATGCTGCTCGTCTCGATACAGTGACAGGAGCTCTGTGATTGGCTGGAAAACGACATGCGGACACAGTTAGAAGCAAGGGACAAAAGCGAGAGGGAAAGGGAGAGATGAGAAGGAAAGGGCTGAGAACGGTAATAAGTTGCTCATTTTATTATTCAAGTGTACTTCTCTTTGTGACAACTCACTGAGACGATACTCTTTGAAACGTCTCAAAAGTGATAGAGCCTGCTGCTCACCTGGTACAGTGACTGGCTGGACATATGTGATTGTGTGGGAATGAGACAAAGAGTTCATCTGAAAATGAAGAGACAGGCAGGCGGCACTAAACAGACGAGCAGCAGCCCACCTCCCCCGCCCAAAAAGAAGAAGAAGAAAAAAAAACCTCACCATTTGGTTGGCTGACTGTTGTTCAAGCAAGGCAGACATGTCAGCAAGGGAGCAGACAAGGTTGATGCGAGGAGAGGAGAGAAGAAGTAGAACAAGGGAGGGGGGAAAGGGGAAACTTACCATTCGATTGGCTGACTGTTGTTCAAGCAGGGCGGACATCTCAGCAAGGGAGCAGCCGAGGTTGATGCGAGGAGAGGAGAAAAGAAGTAGAACAAGGGAAGGGGGAAAGGGAAAACTTACCATTCGGTTGGCCGACTGTTGTTCAACCAGAGCAGACATGTCAGCAAGGGAGCAACCAAGGTTGATGTGAGGGGACGTGAGGCGGCGAGGAAGCCAGAGGCGCTCCTTTTGGTTGACTGTCTCCACTGAGGGCAGCTCTGCCACCCCTGCCCCTATTCTCCAGGCACCTCAACAGCAGACTCCTTACCATTCGGTTGGCCGACTGTTGTTCAAGCAGGACGGACAAGTGAGCAAGAGAGCAGCCGATGTTGATGCGAGGAGAGGAGAGAAGAAGTAGAACAAGGGAAGGGGGGAAGGGAAAACTTACCATTCGGTTGGCCGACTGTTGTTGAAGCAGAGCAGACAAGTCAGCAAGCGAGCAGCCGAGGTTGATGCGAGGGGACGTGAGGCGGCGTGGCAGCCAGAGGCGCTCCTTTTGGTTCACTGCCTGCACCGAGGGCAGCTCTGCTGCCCCTGATACATGCGCTCGGGCAAGGATGGCCGTGCGCTTGAAGTTCAGCTGAGGGGAAGTGGAAGGAGGAGAGGTCGAATGAGAAGCAGCCAGAGTCGTTCCTTTTGGTTAACTGCCTGCACGGTGGGCAGCTCTTCTGCCCCTGATATGTGTGCTCGGGCAAGGATGGCCGTGCGCTTGAAGTTCAGCTGAGGGGAGGGGGGAAGGAAGAGGGGGGAAGAAGGGTTCAGCAAATATTTCTCTTAGTTTAACCACTCGGTAATGTATGGCAAACTCAGCAGCACCACCCCACACCACACCCCACACCACTCCTCCCCACTCCACTCCCTCCCACCCCCCACGTGAACCGTTTTCCTTCCCCTTTCCCCGCTCCCTCCGCAACTCACAGAGTCAAACTCGAGCACGGAGAGTGATTTGAACCGGAAGGCAAGGTGAGTCGACCGAATGACAGCCCTCTTGCCCCTTCCTCCCCACCTTCCGCTACTTACAGAGTCAAACTCAAGGACAGAAAGCGACTTGAAGCGGAAGGCCAAGTGAGTCGAGCGAATGACAGCCCACGTGGTGACCAGACTCCAATACGACTCGGCAATGTAGGGTGAACTTAATAGCACCACGCCACATCCCAGCCCCACCAGCTGAGCCATCACCTTATACACCTCCTCCTTCGCCACCACAACATCACCCCCCATCTGAACCGCCCTTTTGCCCCCTTCCTCTCCACCTTCCGCTACTTACAGAGTCAAACTCAAGGACAGAAAGCGACTTGAAGCGGAAGGCCAAGTGAGTAGATCGAATGACAGCCCACGTGGTGACCAGACTCCAATACGACTCGGCAATGTAGGGTGAACTTAATAGCACCACGCCACATCCCAGCCCCACCAGCTGAGCCATCACCTTATACACCTCCTCCTTCGCCACCACAACATCACCCCCCATCTGAACCGCCCTTTTGCCCCCTTCCTCTCCACCTTCCGCTACTTACAGAGTCAAACTCAAGGACAGAAAGCGACTTGAAGCGGAAGGCCAAGTGAGTAGATCGAATGACAGCCCACGTGGTGACCAGACTCCAATACGACTCGGCAATGTAGGGTGAACTTAATAGCACCACGCCACACCCCAGCCCCACCAGCTGAGCCATCACCTTATACACCTCCTCCTTCGCCACCACCTCCCCCACATTCGCCTGCACAGCAAAGTGCGTCTGAATAACCCTAGCCGACGGATCCTTAAGTCCTTTCGCTACAGCCTTTGTGAGGTTTCCGAGGGATGCGAGGAGGAGAAAGTGGGTCGGCGCGAGGGGGGTCGCGAGCTCGAAAATTGCCCCGGACGAGCCGATTAGGTCCGCGACGAACCTCCACTGCTTCGGATCCTCGTCGAAGATACTGCCGAACCGGCCGCCCACGAGCAGCCGCCCTACCGCACCTATACCATCCTTTGCCACCCATTTGATGGCGGCGGTGGCGGCGGCGGCAGAGGCGGGGTCTACTGCAGGGAGGGCGGCTGCTGCTGCTGCTGCTGAGGTTGCTAGGGTTGCTGCTGCCCCTGCTGCGACGGTACCGACCGTACCGGCCGCACCAGCAGCAGCACCAGCAGCGGCACCAGCAGCGGCACCAGCAGCAGCGCCAGTAGCAGCAGCACCAGAAGCAGCGGCGGCGCCAGCAGCAGCAGCAGTGGCTGTGGATTTAACGAGTGAGCCGACTCCTACTGCTTGCAGCAGCGTGGATGTGACGAGGGTTGACGAGGCCCACCCCGTTATGTGCACTGGAAACTGCCAGAGCCTGTGGAGAATGCAGGGAGGGAGGGGGGGAAGGGAGGAAGGGCGTCTGTTACGTCTCCAGGCAATGATTGATGAGGGTTGACGACGCCCACCTGGTTATGTGCACTGGAAACTGCCAGAGCCTGATGGGAGGGAGAGAGAGAGGGAGAGAGGGATACGAATACCTTTGAGACGCCTCACATCACAATGACGAGGGTTGACGAGGGTGCCCCCCCCGTTATGTGCACTGGAAACTGCCAGAGCCTGATGGGGGTGAGGGAGGGAGGGAGGGAGGGAGTGAGGGACGGCTAGGAGGAGAGGGGAGGAGGGGCTAGAAGAGGGGGGGAGGGGGGGACAGGGAAATGAGATGCAGGGGTCTGAGAGTGGGGAGGAGTGAAATGGGCGGGGGGGGTGGGGGAGTGGATGTGTGTGAGAGAAAGGGAGGAAGGGGGGTGGTGAGGAAGAGGGCTAACATAGAAGGCATGGAAAGAGAGAGTTTGGTTGGAATCTTACATGTAGCTTGTGTAGTCACTGGTCAGGCTGCCCGGATATCCAGCGGGCAGGAAGAAATTCTTTGCTGACTGGACGAGAGAGTCAAAACGGCCGCTTCTGGCTGGCTCGGTTCCGCCTCCGTTGCTGTCAGCATCGTTTGAAGCACCAGCAGCGCCAGGAGCAAGGGGGGTGGAAGGCGGAGGGGGTTCTGCAATGCTTACAACTCCTTCAGACACGCTGACTCGATACCTGCGAAGGGAAAGTAAGAAAACAGGGAATCTGACTGTTTCAAAGGCGGCTCAAGAAGACACAGCAGCAGGGTGGATGGAAGGCGCAGGGGGTTCGGCAAAGATAACAACTCCGTTAGACACGCTGACTCGATACCTGCGAAGGGAAAGAAGGGATTGAATTGAGGGGGCTCAGGACGACACATCAGGGGGGATGGAAGGCGAAGAGGGTTTAGAAACGCTAATAACTCCTTAGACACACTGATTCGATACCTGCGGAGGGAAACAAGGGAGGCCAATAGATTAGACGCGGCAAAAAAAGACAGCAGCAGCAGAGACGGAAGACGGAGGGGGTTGGGCAAAGCTAGCAACTCCTTTAGCCACGCTAATTCGATACCTGGGGCTGGGGAAGGGATGGGTGAGGTGAGGTGCCGGGTGAGGAGGGGAAGGAGAGAGGAAGGCAAATGTGTGGGGTCGGGTACAAGCAGCACTAGCAGAGGGAGAAGGTGAGCGAGGTGTGAGGGAGGGAGGGAGGGAGGGAGGGAGGGAGGGAGGGAGGGAGGGAGGGAGAAAAAGGGTTGTGGAAGGAGTTGCAAAAGGGGGCTGACAATGGAAATTAGTGCGGTCATGATTCAATGCTGCGAGATACAGCAGATGTAAGGGATTGAAGGAACGGATGATAAATCAGCTTTTGATTGACACCAGGGTTTTGGGCTTAACGGATAACGGAATTTAGGTTAGGGGATTTTGGTTGGTGAGAAATGAGGTCCCTGCTTAGGAGGAAAAACGGCCATCACAGATAGATCCTCGGGAATGGTTACCACTGATGCACCCTCGGGAATGGATATATACGTCCTCTATCAAGGCCCGACGTCCATTCGTCCATCAAAAAGTACGCGGAAACCAAGAAGCGGGAACTAGACTGAAAGGGGAAGAACCATCAGCAACCGTTTACCTCCGTATAGAAGCATTCGCGCGTCTCTCCTCGATAACCAACCCATCCTGCTGCTCCCTCGACTCCTCAACGTCTTTCCGTCTCTTGCTCTCGCTATCTCCCAGACCCTTTCCTACTTCATCCTTCCCGCTGCCGTTTCGTGAACTACTATTTCGATCGTCGGTATCATTATTCCCGCTTGAGCCGTCAGAGCCAGCCTGGCACCGGGAATTTAACGTCCTCGGCTTAACGTAATGTAACTTTCTCGTGTACCGGAACGCCTTATTACGGGGATAGGATTGAGACCATCGGATAAACGTGGTACTACTACCCTTCGTGAGTATAGAGTCTGATGTGTGGACCGTATTTCTCGCCAAGGTTGAAATTACTCGACAACCACTGAAAGGCCATTGTAGATGAGCTGCCATGAGACCTAAACCTTGCATGGCGTGGCGTGACCACTTGCGGGCGTCACAAGTTGCCCAAACTGCCCCTCACATAGAACTGAAGACGACTTCTAGGAAAGGGGAACCGCTGGAAGAGAGGAGACGGGTTAGACCGGGAAATGGGGCGTCCGTTACGCATATAGGGAGGTCCGCAGGTAGGTTAAGAATGCTGCTTGTTGGCGGTGCGAATAGTCCAATCTATTAGATTACTTTGGACCGTCCAATCGCTTTATTGAAGGATTTGCCAGTTGGCTTGATTGTCGTGTCTGGAAGGCGCGACCGGAAACTAGGAAAAGCCTCAAGGCTGGATTAATAGCCATATACACATGATGCCCAACCACTGCACGCGAATCTGCCCTGCACATTTTAGAAACTCTGCACCCGTGGTTTTTTTCCCGGTCAGTTGCACCTCATGTATAAGCCCCCGAAACAATTTGCAATTGGCCCAGAAGACACCAAAACTAGGACATGTAGCACCCGACAAGCCGAGTCAACCGGCTTCTGGCTTAAATTGTTGACTAGGTGCAGGTTAGGGGGAAAAACGTTAACGAAATACGTTTCCCATCGCCAACAACTTCGGCTATGACACGGTGCCACGTAGGGGGGTTCATGGTGCGTCAAACAGAATTGAGCAAAATACACCTCTCCACGTGTACCATGCTCAAGCACGGTACACGCCCCTTTAGGTCCACACGATGCTCAACCAGCCCACGTCATGACTGGTGGTTGTGGTAACACGGCATTCCCTCGCCACGTTTCCATACTGAATGCTTGCGATGAATCTGTGCAGTTCGCGCACCTCGCCCAAGGCACAAACCACCAGACACATGATGCCTACAGGACTTTGTGAACTCAAAAAGAGGCCGCAAAAACTCACTCGACAATCAGAAACTCATTAACCTCCGAGGCTAGCCATGCCTCGCCTGTACAGCCGCGCCCAGCTCGCCGTGCATATCAAGAGGGCGATATGTGCCCACCATGTCGCTAACCAGCAGATGCGCCACGTCGATCTTGCCCGCTGGTGTTTCACTCGCTTCGGCATTAGGCCTGACCGTTCGACGATCGGGCGCGTGTTGAAGGGCACCGATCGATGGGTCGCTACCACGACGAACAACAACATTGTACGCGTCCGAGGCGGCGCACACCCCGCGCTCGAGCGAGCTATGGCCGGCTGGATTGCCAGTGCGGGCCCGGCCGGAGTTCCGCTCACGCTGGCTACTATTCGCGACCCGGTGTTATAATCCTTTTTTAACCCGGTGTTTTTCATGCAGGTGTTCACTCACTTCATGGAGCAACTTAACACGGCCATGTACGCAGAGGGCCGGAACATCGTTATCCTGATGGACAACGCGAGCAGCCACGTGCTCAAGACGGAAGGCGCCGAGACGGAGGACCTCTTTGGGTTCCGTACGCGCAAGCTCAGCAACTTGCGCATTGTTTACCTGCCGCCCAACACCACGTGCTTCACCCAGCCCCTCGATCAGGGGATCATTGCTACGGCGAAGGCGAGGTACCGGGCGCACTGGCTGAGCGCGTTCACTGCGCAGTGGGTGGAGAGCGGCGCCACGTCGGCGATGGCTCGGTACAAGCCGAACCTCCGCGACGTGCTCGCCTGGCTGCTCGATGCATGGATGAACATCGAGCGTCGTACCATTCAGCGCTGCTGGTGGCGCACCGAGTGCCTCCCGCGTGCATGGGAGATGCAGCTTGATCATGTGGGCAACGGCGGCAACGGCGGCAACGGCGGCCCCACCGAGCTCGAAGAGGCAGTGGGCGACGTGGGGATCCTCATCGATCGGCTTGGCCTCGGCCCGTCAGCGATGCCTGCCGCGGACTTCGTCCGCATCGACGAAAATCAGCCGACTTGCACCGAGCCGGGAGAGGACCCGCTGGCTACGGAGCCGCCGACCTTGCCGCCTGCCGAGATGTGGGAGGCCCCGGCCAGCATGCAAGTCGTCTATGACGACGCCAATCCGGCTTGCCGCGAGGCACGGCGCTACGTCCGCGCCGCAAGCGAGATGCTCATCGGCTACGCGAAGGCCACCGGCATCACACCGCGTGACCTCTGCGCGCTGTTCGACATCCGCAACCCCATCATCAGGGCCCGGATGGAGCGCGCAAGTCCGGCGCTCAACCTGAACAGCACCCCGCCTCCCGCCATGCCCCTGGGCGCCACCCCGCCTGCTGAGAAACCTCGTCGCCGTGGGCGTGTGCTGCCGGCGTGGATGACGGAGCCGACCCCGGAGTGGGTCACTTTGGCTCAGCAGGCGGCTCGCCGCCAGGAGCTCATCGACGGAGGAGCACCAGTTGTGATGGGTGGCTTCCTGGATGCCGCCGAGTGGATGCGGCTGTGAGGGTGTTGTGCTCTGCACACCTTGTGTATGGCTCGTTTCATGTGTAAATGTGCAAGTCTCGTGCACATTGTCACTAGCACGCAGGAATGACTGGGTAAAGGTGTGGATTGCGTATTGGCGGGATGGATGGGTAAGGGTATTTGTAACAAGGCAGAACATGTGTTGTAATCGCGTGCAAGGATGAAATGAAAAGGCAGTGGTAGGTTCCCAAACAAACAACAATGCTTGCCTACCAACACTGTTTGGGATAAAACAAACTTGTTACAACCTGTGTTTTTTATTAGCACATCGTGGCTCTGGCGAAACCCGACGAACCGAGCGAAATGCGCAATTCACTTATAAGCCCAGAGGACATCCCAAGTATGGGGGACTCAAACGAGCATTAGGTGTAAATGCATTTCGCAAGCTGACACAACAAGAATGCCTTTTTCTGGCTGCTAGCGGGGCACGCGTGACGCGGAACGGTAAATCTACAAGATTTTCAAATCAAGAGAGTCGCCGGGCGCGGCGGCTACTTATGCAAGTGACCGCGACTGCCACTTTTCTTCAAATCCCTCAATTACTTCACCTCCAGCCGTTTCTCAAGGGCCAAAGGATAGGATGGCTTGCCCCTTCAGTAGAACAAAGGTCTATCCTGACTGAAGGAATACTTCAACAAAATCGAGGTACGTGTATATAAGAGGAAACGGGCAAGCTCAAACGTACTGCCGCCATTTTACCGTCCGCCCTAGACCTGCATCCGATCACAGTAACGAAGGAAAGGAGCCGATTTGTCCACCTCGGACCTGTACCATATGTGTGGGGTCGAGGCCGGTACGTGTACGTTCCACGTAAGCAATCCCGCTAGAATGCTTTCTCGGATAGGTGCCGGTGACGTGTACTTTCATGGGATTGACGATGGTTCGTTTGCGGTGCCTGCTCGTTGTGACTGTCGTGGTTCCCGATGTGCAATCAAGTCACATCAATAAATTAATTACAGCATATGCAATTAATTCGAAATGCTAATCAATGTTCCTCACGTGGAATTCAATACTAGCTACAGCCTTTCGTTATCTACTAGGTTGAATTCACTTCTGCGATTGATTAGCCCTTTGCTCCATCAGGCTCTGGACCAGAAGCGCACTCTCCAGACTGTTTATCTGAGACTGCACATCAAGCAAACACGATATGAAGTGTTGCAAAACACTGCGTGTGATTGAACCTTTGACCAAGATTTCCAGATGGGAATTAAAGAGGCTTTCATACCTGAAGGTGTGTGATATGGGAAATGGCCACCTCAATCATCGCAGCAGTGTCTACTTGTGGCCCCACTGCTCCTGCTGGTAGAGTCCGTCGCAACTGTTGCAATCCCTCACTGCAGTGATAAAAAACAATCTTGTGAACTCGCGACTACAGACATAAGAGAAGCATCCGGCAGCATGTGGGCTTGCATATACCTGATCTTATCTCGTCTCCTCCTCTCGCGCATGCTTCTCGGTTTTATGGCCCCTCTCTCCTTAGCTTCCGCATCAAAGCGTGTCCGGGTCCTTGGTCGCCAATCCCCCGTCGCAAGGCTATCTGGTAGCTGGCGTGCGAGACCTGTTTGCTGTGCTTGTGTCCCGCCTGCCAAATCGGCACTGGAATTGGATACGCCCGGTGCAGGATCCCCACCATCACTGGATCCACCCACAGATGCTGCAACACCAACTGCTGCAGCAGACCCGCCCCCATCCAAACCACCTCCATCGACCAGCATGCCCATGCCTGTGAGGTCTCCTCTGGAGTTCGATCTCAGAAGCTCCTGCACCAGTGCATCTTCTTCCCGATCAAGCATTGTAGTTGCAGGAATGTAATTTTCACCAGGAAGTGACATGGTCCGCCTGCTGTCTGCACTCCTCGCAGCCAAGGCCATTTCGCCTGAGAGCCTCTGCATGGAGCTTGACAGGCCAGCGGATCCAGCCAAAGGCGATCCAGATAGATTTGGTGAATCAGAGACGGCAGTTGGCGGTCCAGCAACGCGTGGCGATCCGGCAATGACTAACGATGTACTACTGGGTACGTTTAATAAGCCGATGCCGTGCCCTCTTGGACCCCTCTCCTGGGCGGCTGGGTTCATGTCTGGCAATGCAGGCTCGGTAACAAGCCGTGTTGTGTTCGAGTCCGAGCCTCCGCGACTGGGCAGCGGCGTTTCAGGATTCAAGCTGATTTTCTCTTGCAGCCCGCTTATGTGGCGTGGCCCTTGCTCCGGCGCTCCCGAAATGGTGAAGTCCGGACGAGCAGGAACAAAAGCATTATCGTCTGAATTTGTGCCGGCATGGGGATTTGAACTCCGACCCATCATACCCCGAAGAAACTCTTCCAGATGGGTTTCGTCACGGTCCCCGGATCTTGAATGGGCCCATTCCGTCATTTCCGGAACCTGTGATGATGAGGCGCCACCCACCAAGAATCTCGCATTGCCGCCCACGTGGCTTCCAGTATCATGACTGAGACGACCATGATAATGCGATCCGGTAGAAAATGATTCGTTAAGAGTGTTCGAGCCAAAGCCGGCGGTTGCATTTCCCGCGGAAATCATTCCGAACATCTCTGCATTGAGATTATCCCCGTCTACCTCCATTGTAGGGATGCAGGTAGCGTCTCTAGTAAGTCCTTCAGTGTCGCGCATTTTGAAATCTTTTGTGGTGGCGAGAGCTGCTGGTTGCCGGTGGAAACGCGAGGGCTGACGGAAATTCTGGCCGATCCGGCGATTCGGGATTGAAAGGGGAACGACAGCAGCAGAACCCGGCGGCGACTTTGGCGACGAGACAAGCGGCACCGTGCGACAGCTTGGGCTGGTAACTGCGACATTGTGCGACATCGCAGCGATGGCATTGTCGACAGGGAAGGGCGCGTCGCGAAACGACATGGTCCCTCCTGGCGACGCGGGAACGGCGGGAGAACTCGCAAGTTGCAAGCCCTGCGAAGCCCGAGGAGAGTTTCCGCTTTCGAGGGCTCTGCCCGCCGCGGAGAAGCTCCTTCCTTCCGCGGCGGAGAGAATCTGCAGTTGCGCGAAGCGCGCAGCCTCGGCGGAACGCTCGAGCAGCTCTGGAAGCTCTTGAGCGGCGGGACGGGCCGCGGGCGACTCGTAACCTTGTGCTGATTCCGCGACATTTTTAGGGTTTTCTCGGAGTCCCGCGTCGGCAACGGTGGGAGGTACCATTACCGATGCCGAATCGGTGGCCGAGACGTCGAATCGCTTGTCAGCGCGAGCCGCGGGCGGCGACATGCCGCCGTCGGTGTTGCTGCCTTCAAGCTGCAGCTGATGCACCCACGCTTCGACCGCGGTCCGCTGCCGATGAACCATCGCCGAAAGCGTATCCGTGAAATCCGGTGACTGAAACGTGTCGGCCGCGGCACGGGGATGATCATGCTGATAATAATGATGACCCTCAGCCGAACCACCGCCCCTGGCAGGCGCTTTGCCACGTTCGGTGTCACTACCAGTAAGGATGATTACGTCGCGCTGACTCGACATGACGATGGTGGTGATTCGTCGTTTAAAATGTACAGAGATTGTCTAAGCTCGCTGAGTTACTATGGACTTCGAGTGTGCTATTTCTGCTGGTTCCACTATGGACTCTTGTGCTATCGGAAAGATGCCTCAACGCTATCGGACGAAGTTCGTCTGAACAAGGTTCAGTGGAACGGATCTCGAGCTCTCCCGGTCGCGGCGCGAACGAACAATGCGACGCTTTCTCGTCTTCGACACTTCACTGGAGCAGTGTCGCTGCAAATGAATGTCTACTGTAATCACTGCATTGCGGGGGAGGTGATGTAGTAGTGGTGGTCCTACGGTTTGCGCTTCTGCGCTCGAAGAACGACTGCTCATCTCGAAGTGAAGCTGGCTACACCCTCATTCTCAGTCTACGCACAATCGGGAGCAGCGACAACAGTGTTGTCAGGTAGCGTCTCTGTGCTTGTGGCCGAACCCCCTAATGTTGCCAGGCACACCATGCACCAAGCGCCAAAACAGTAACATTCGAAACGACTTGTTCACTTTGTCCTACACTGTGGCCAAAGATTCCACATCAAAACACACAAGAAACAGACAATTCCTAACACAGGTTCAAAACACATACAGAATATCTACGTTCGGTAGAAAGGGGTAACGTATGGTAGAGCGAAAAGCAACGGCAGCCAACCACACATGTGAGCGCACTGTACACTTCCTGCCAGTCAAAGTCAACAGCTGCATTACCAACGTGGCAGTCGTGATTGTGCTTGTAGAGTATGTGCATGCACCATTCTAGGCACGTTGCAGTCACTACAAGCGTTCGGTGCATGTGGCGATTGTGCACAGACTGAGAATGAGGGTGTAGTAGTGTGGTACGAAAAGCAGTGGGAGATATTCGAGTGAGCTGGAAAAAGCTTTAGGTGATGTAGTATCTTGCAACTCTCCATGAACTTAGACGATCTCATCGTAGCTGTGAGGATCCTCGCCACAAGCCCCGAATTTCGAGCTTCGAGAACCAGCTCAAACAGTACGGCCCGCCCGCAAGTTCAGGCCGAATGCAAGGTGATAGGGTAGGAGTTACATAATCTGTTACATAATCTGAAGACATGGACGGCTAAAGTGAGCACGCTTGGCAACGTCTTCGATCGGGCGCTTCAGTCTGGATCGCACAAGATTCTAAGAGGCACGCCGCGTGCATCTCTTGAGAAACAAGCCCCAGGCCGCTTTGATGGAGGAGATACATCAAAAGCGAGGATCAGGGAAAGGCGGTGGCGTGCTCTGGAGGGATGCCACAAGATGAAGTGGATAAGGGTAGTCACGCTGCTATATTTAATATTTCCAGGGTTGAAAACGAATTCCTGAGAAACCACAGAAACCGCATCCCCTGCCACCACGAGTCGGTCCAGTTGCTTCCGACCGCTACCGGCTCCAGAAAGTGAAATATATTGAATGAATCCATCGATCTGAACTACACACGAATCCGAACTGTGTAGTCACAGGTGGCACCGAAATTATTTTCACAAAGGGGAAGTCTGGTTGGGACATTGTTTGCGAACGAGTTCCCCACACTGTGAACCCACAGTGGTTGCTGGGAATGACGTGGTGGAACGTAGGTCCAATGTCTTTAGACTCGAAGGGGACAACGTTGCAAACCAAGTCGTAACGGGCGGCGAACTGTGGCTTCCTCGTATCGCAACAAAGATCCTCGAAAGTGGGCACGCTTACAAAAAATGCTGTTTGACGGATACTGTACGATGCAATAACAATTGATCTTCTACGAAGGTGTACGTCTCCCGACTCCACAAGAAGATTCATAAAAATAACTATGCATGCATTTGTGCAGGGATACATGAATTACCGGCAATTGGTTCAACATCACGTTCACAGAAATACCATGCATCACAGTTACCAAAACATCCCGGTGGTTACCGCTTGGAGTAACATGCGCCGGCCACCACTACTTGGAGATGCAAGCTGCGAGCCTGCGAGCTCGGGAACAGATTTGGCAGCAACCATGAGTCGACCATAGAAATGTTATTTGGAGATGCGGGCTGCGAGCTCGCGAACAAATTTGGCAGCAACCATGGCTGTCATTCCGTCCACTGTGTCACGCTGTGGATTCAGCTCCACCACATCCCCCGCCACCACATTGCCTGGCGGGGGGAAAGGGAGAGGGTGCAGAGGGAGTGGGGCGAAGGGTGCAGTAATGTGAGCAGCCATGGCTGTCATTCCGTCCACTGTGTCACGCTACGGGTTCAGCTCCACCACACCCCCCGTCACCACGTTGCCTGGCGGGGAAAGCAAGGAAGGCATGGGAGGAAGGCGAGGAGGGGAGGGGGTGGTGGGGTGTGGGTGGCACCCATTGCCTGGCGGGGAGTGCGGGTAGGAAGGGAGTGGCAAAGGGAAGGGGGAGGGGGAAGAAGAGGGGAGCGAGGGCACATGCACTGTGGGTTCAGCTCCACCGGGGGAAGCAGGTGAGGGGAGAGGTGTCAGAAGGAAGGGGAGAGAGGGAAGAGGGAGAAAGAGGGGGTTGGGCTGGGTGCCACATGCACTGCGGGTTCAGCTCCACCACCTCACCCGCCACCACATTGCCTGGCGGGGAGTGCTGGTAGGAAGGGAGTGGCAAAGGGAAAGGAGAGGGGGAAGAAGATTCACCCTTGCAGCTCTGTGGAACCAGAGCCCTCTCGGCTCAATGTGCAGATTGACAAGAAGTTTCACTGAAATTTTGCTTGACGACTGCTAAAGAGAGTGTTCACCTTTGAGGTTCTGCAGCATGTTCATGACGTCACAGCAGGGGGGCTCAATGTGGAGCTTGATATGAACTTTCACTGAAATGTTCACTCAGAGAACGTTCACCAGAATATTCACCTTTGAGGTTCTGCAGAATGTTCATACCATCGCGGAAGGAGAGGCCGCCCGGTTCAATGTGCAGCTTGACACGAAACTTCACTGAGAGTTCACATCACATGCTGATAGTTCACCAAATTGTTTACCAGAATGTTCACATTTCAGGTTCTGCAGAATGTTCATGGCATCGCGGAAGGAGAGACCCCCTGGCTCAATGTTCTGCTCGGAGTGAACTATCACTAAAAGTTCACTAGGAGAATGTTCACCTTAAAGGTTCTGCAGAATGTTCATGACATCACGGAAGGAGAGGTCATGTGGCTCAATGTGCGGCTCGGAGTGAACTATCACTGAGAGTTCACAAGGAGAATACTCACCTTTGAGGTTCTGCAGAATGTTCATGACGTCGCGAAAGGAGAGACCGCCCGGCTCAATGTGGGAGACGCCCGGAGCAAATGCGGGGTCGAGGCAATCAATGTCGATCGAGACGTACACCCCCTTCACTCCTTTCCCCAGCTCCTGAGGATAGACGAAAGAGGCAAGGAAGATGAGAGGGAGATGGGATGGGGGATCGGAGATTGGAGGGGAAATGAGAGGGGAGATTTGGGCGACGCCCGGAGCAAAGGGGGGTCGAGGCAGTCAATGTCGATTGATACGTACACCCCCTTCACTCCCTGGCCCAGCTCCTCAGGATAAAAGAAATGACCACGGAAGATGAGGGGTGAGATGGGAGGGCGAATGGGAGGGGAGATGGGAGGGCGAATGGGAAGGGAGATGGTTCAATGTGGGAAATGCCGGGAGCAAAGGCGGGGTCAAGGCAGTCTATGTCGATTGAGATGTACACTCCCTTCACTCCCTGGCTCAGCTCCTGATTTACTTAAGAAAGGCAGAGCAGGGAGAGAGAAGGAGTGGCACACAGTTGAGGCACAAGGTGGGAGCAAAGGTGGGATTGAGGCAGTCAATGTCAACAGAGACGTACACCCCCTTCACTCCTTTCCCCAGCTCCTGAGGTTAAAAGAACGGACCGCGGAAGATGGGAGGTGAGATGGGAGGGCGAATGGGAGGGGAGATGGGAGGTGAGATGGGAGGGGAGATGGGAGGGCGAATGGGAGGGGAGATGGGAGGGGAGATGGGAGGGGAGATGGGAGGGGAGATGGGTCAATGTGAGAGACGCCCGGAGCAAAGGCGGGATCGAGGCAGTCAATGTCGATGGACAAGTACACTTTCTTCACCCCCTGGCCCAGCTCCTGATGAGTGGAGAGTAGAGTAGAGTAGAGAGGGGTGAATGAGCAGATACGGGGAAGAGAGGCACAAGGTGGGAGCAAAGGCGGGATCTAGGTAGTCAATGTCGATCGATGCGTATTTCCCCTTCATCCCCTGCAGCAGCTCCTATTGAGAAATGAAAAGGGGAGACCCAGGCCCAGCCCAGCTCAGCTCCCACTAGATGCATACTACTTGCGGTACAAGCACACCCATCACCACCGCTCCCAACCCACCAGGTTCTCAAGCATCTCTCGGTTGCGGTGGAAGTGCCTCATCTCATACTGCTCCATGCAACAAGTCAGTGGAGGTAACCGGCGCACACCCATCACCACCCATCACTACCACTCACCACCATCTCACCCACCAGGTTCTCAAGCATCTCTCGGTTGCGGTGGTAAGTGTCTTCTCATCTCATACTGCTCCAAACTGCCTGCCCTGCTCTTGAGGCGCCTCAAAAGCACACCTCACAGCCATCATTGTAAGCACACCCAGCACCTATCACCCTCGCATCCCTCCCACCCACCAGGTTCTCCAGCATCTCTCGGTTGCGGTGGAAGTGCCTCATCTCATACTGCTCCACGCCAAACCGCCTGCCCTGCGCCCGCCCCTCCTCGTTGATCGACCGAATGCCCACCTGGGAGCAACAGGAGGGAAGGCCACATCGGATTGTGAAAGCCAGTGCCCACACTGGCTCGGATTGGAACGGAGGGCCGTTATAACGGAGGGTCTCATCTCATATATGAGACGGATTTTATCCACCCTGGGATGCTGTGACGAGCATCATCCCTCAAACCAATCCGCCCACTTATCCTGCTCCCGCCCCTCCTCGTTGATCGACCGAGTGCCCACCTGCGAGCACTGAGCGGTGGTGGATGGATGCAAGGCGTCAGTAACAGAGGGGTTAGGTTTTTTGGCCGAGAATGCTTCCGGCCCCCCTCGTTGATCGACCGAATGCCCACCTAAACCTAAAACTTCAAACCCAAACCCTCAACCCTTTCATCTCACCTGCAGCAGCCGCCGGCATGCTCCAGACTCCATGATGCGAGCAAAGGGCGAGGCGTGGGAATAGTGGTTGCCCTCAAAGGCGTGGTAGATGTCTGGGTGCGCGTCGAAGTGCAGAATGTCAACCTGGCCGCCCAGATGCTCTGATACCGCCCGCACCACCGGGAAGGAGATTGAATGGTCGCCTCCCAATACGAGTGGAGCTAGGGGGGACTGGGGAAAGATGAGGGGGAGAAAGGGGGAGAAAGGGGGAGAACGGGAAGAGAATGGGGCAGAATATGGGGCGGAATGGTGGAGAACGGGGAAGAATGGGAGTTGAAGGGGTTGCCCTCGAATGCGTGGTAGATGTCTGGGTGCGCGTCGAAGTAAGAATGTCAACCTGGCCGCCCAGATGCTCCGAAACCGCCCGCACCACCGGGAAGGAGATGGAGTGATCTCCTCCCAGCACCAACCCACAATTGTCTGATACTTCGACAAAGGGTAATTACCTCAGCCAGCACGAGGCGCATGGAGTCTGACACGGTGCTATTGAGATGGCTGTCACACACAGTGTCTGTGTGTGCGTGCATGCGTGCGCGTGCGTGCGTGCGTGCGTGCGTGCGTGCGCGCGTGCGTGCATGCGTGCACATGGAGTGCGGGCGTGCGGAGTCTGACACAGTGCGCATGAGACGACTGTCGTCCAACCCGCACGCGGATGTCTGATACATTAAGGGTAATTACCTCAGCCAGCACAAGGCGCACAGATTCTGACACAGTGCGCATGAGACGGCTGTCGTCCAACCCACAGTCCCGCATCTCCTGTTGTGGTCGGGGGGGGGGGATGTATGGATGGGGTGGGATGCATGGACGGTGCATGAGCATTTCAATCATACCAATATACACCACTTGCACCAGATACCACCCGCACCAGATACCACCTGCACCAGATACCACCTGCACCAGATACCACCTGCACCAGATACCACCAGCAGCAGATACCACCTGCACCAGACATCACCTGCACCAGACACCACGTGCACCAGATACCACCTGCACCAGATACCACCTGCACCAGATACCACCCGCACCAGATACCACCTGGACCAGATACCACCTGCACCAGATACCTCCTGCACCAGATATCACCCGCACCAGATACTACCTGCACCAGATACCACCTGCTCCAGATACCACCTGCTCCAGATACCACCTGCACCAGTAGTTCCCTCCCCCCTTACCTGCACGGGCACATCCCCCACGTCTGTGAGCACGCGAATGTCATTCAGATCCTTGCCTGCTCGGTGGAGAGCAGCAGAGGGCGTGGGAAGGAGATCAGAGGGGCACAGAGGGTGATGCGAATGGTAAATCAAAACAAGAGAACAAGATCGATCGATCCACTCGCTGTGCTCAGTTCGGTTGACTCACTTTCGAACCGAACCTCTCTCACCCGCCCTTCACCTTCCTCCGTGGACGTTTCAGTGGAGCCACACCAAACGGCCTCTACTAGGATGCGGGGAGGCGCCTAGTTTGCAGCTCCAGTCAACTCCAGTGACCAGTCAACGCCAGTCAACATTAGTCAACTCTCACCTTCCTCTGTGGACGAGTTGGTGGAGCCACACCAAATCGCCTCTCTGATGCGGGGAGGGGCGAAGGCCGGGCCCTGCAGAAAGCTAGAGTTGTGACCCAAAGGCACTCCCAGCAGACACGCTGTCGCCTCTGCTCCCCCTACCGCTCGCACCTTCTCTGCCTGCAGTACAAGAGAGCACAACCCGGCACGGGGCAAAGGGGAGAGAAGGCGAAAGGGGGATAAGAGGGCGAAGGCAGGGCCCTGCAGGAAGCTGGAGTTGTGGCCTAGAGGCACTCCCAGGAGGCATGCCGTTGCCTCCGCCCCACCTGCTGCTCGCACCTTCTCCGCCTGTGGTAGAAGGAACAAAGTGGGAGGTTAGGGGGTACGGGGACAGGAGGGCAGGAAGACAGAGGAGAGGGTGGGCTAAGAGGGGCGAAGGCAGGGCCCTGCAGGAAGCTGGAGTTGTGGCCTAGAGGCACTCCGAGCAGGCATGCTGTCACCTCTGCTCCCCCTGCTGCTCGCACCTTCTCCGCCTGTGGTGTACGAGGAAAAACCGGGGGGGCAGGAGGGTAAGGGGAAGGGACGCAGGGGATCACAAAGGAACTGTTTGCAGTTGGGATTAAGAGTTTGGGGATTGAGCGGATAAGGGAACAGGAAGGTAGGGGGACAAGGTGGGAGGGGGCAGGGGGGCAGAATGTCAAGGTGGAAGGGGGCCAGGCAGGGGTTAGAGAATTGGGGGAGTTGAGGGAAAAGAGGGGTAAGGAGAAGTGGGGCTGAGGGAAAGGGGACAGGGGGAAAGCGGACAGGGGGGATACGCGGAATGAGGGGAGGGTAGGGGAAATAAGGGGTTAAGGTGAGCAACGGTTACCTTGAGCCGCGCTCGCTCGCGCACCAGCGTCAACGACGCTTCCACCACGCGGCTCGCGCCCAGCTCCTCGCTCTCCGTCGCCGGCGCGCGCGGGGCTCCGCTTCCACCACCAGCGGCGGAGGCGGAAGCGAATCCGCGGCACAGAGGCGGAAGCGCGCGGGCCGCCGGCAGCGGACCCAGCGCAGCGGAAGAAGGGGACGGCGCGGAAGCGTGACGAGAAATCAGGCTGTGGTTGTGGCGGCTGTGGTTGAGCGCGCGGCGGATCAGAGTGTGCAACCGGCGTGACGGAGCCATGTTTTGCTTGCGGGTGAGCGAGGTGAATTACAGGAATGGAATGCGGCAGGAAACGTCAGAATTCGGTGCAGTGCAGTGAGATGCGGCTGGATGCGGTGAGATGCGATGGCGGGACCAATTGGATGGAAATCTCGGGGACGGTTTCAGTGGTAATTAATGGGATCGGGACTGGATAACACGGATCGGCCGCGGCCGATGCGGATCGGGCGAAATGCGAGCAATGGAGGTGGAAGGCGTGGGAGAGGGGTAAGTTTTGGCGAGCGGAGTGGAACGAGAAAGATCCAGGCTCACACACCTGGACAAGCCAGTCGTTCCTGCGGCTTCTCACAAGAATGGGCTTTGCTTTTATGACCAAGGAAAAGGTGGAAGGAGCAACCCTTCGGTACTCAAGGATCCCATACGGAATCTGTGCAAATCCCAAGGCCTGTTCCGACGTGGATGGTTATCACGTGGGTACGGAATTCTAGCTTCCCACGTGGTACGTTTCAAGGGAACTCCGCCCACGTGATTCCCTAAGATAAGGAGCAGTTGTGACAAGAAGCCTCGCTACAAGAGTAGAGGCGGAAAATTTCTCTCACATTCAGCCATGCCATGATTGTATGGGAAACTTACGAACAGTAGAAAATGAATTTCAAAATCAGAGTTCAAGTTTCACAATTTGAAAGCCTGAAATTCATTTTTGCTATTCATCAACCGTGTTGCTGCTCATACATTCATATGTTGTTAACTAAGGAGTTGTGGAGTATTTTGATTCAGCATGCTTAGCTATAAAGGATTTTAATTCTTCGTTCTTGTACGCTCTGTCGAGCTGTACTTCTTTTGAGTTGTGTATTATGACGTGGACTCTAATCGATTATGCGATTGGTAAATTGAATGGATCACGCACCAGCACACAACGACAAGGCACGTCCACGCCAGCACAGAATATCGACGCTCGTCAGAGCCGAATTTCTCCGTCAACATTGCGATTAGTGACGTGTACTGACGCGGTTCACACGCTCCCGAAGATCTGTCTGGCAGTGATCGATCCGTCCACGCGGCCACATGTGCCACGGTTGGAACAGATTGAGAGTTGAGAGGATTCGTAGCCAATGCGAATAGTGACGTGGATAAAACTAGAGTCGCGGGTTCGAGCCAGTGACGCTTCGCAGTTACACGTGACTGCCTTTCTGGTGGATCATGCCAGCCAGGCTTGGATACAGCAGCTTTCGGACCGCGATTCGCTTCGCTTGGATACACGAAAAACAACGAAAACGGGTAACGATATCTCTTCGGTTCAGTCAGAAAACGGCTGGCCTAACGACATATAGCGAATGCTGAGCTGAAGATGCTTTCGGTTGCCGCTTCGTTTGGGTTCGTAGAAATGGTGAGGGTTTCTTGTCGCTTCGTTTCGGTGCTTCCTTTTCAGAAATTGCTACTTTCCAGTGAAGGAGCACCTACGTTAGTAGGTTCCAGAGATCGTGGAGAATCGTTGTCGCAAACGCTATTATAGACTACGGCGGGAGGTAGCGAACCGTGGAGCTGGCCAAGCTGCGTGCTTATTTGATCAGCCGCGAGCATTGTTGGTATTGACTCGGTAGGTGCAGTTTGCTGGTCCGCAGCTACAGAGCTGGTCCTCTAACCGTTCACCACCTTCTTCCACGTAGCTCGCACACTTTGTATCAGAGCGCAATGGCGGCCCGACTCGACCTCACGTCACCCATAGCGTCGTCTAAGCTAAACCTAAAATCGTCGCAGCCCGGCCTTTCGTCGTCCTCGTCTCGTCAGACCCTCTGGTCGCCACCCTTCAAAGGATCAACCTCCCGCCTCTCGATATCAACCACTGCGCCCATCCCGCCCTCAACCCGCTTCTCGCATCCCCCCGGCGCGCTTCCACCCGGCCTCCGCACCGTGTCCTCGTCCGCCGTCCCGCGCGTCGTTGCATCAGCCGCCGCCGCCTCCGCCGCCGACTTCCCCGCAGCGGGATCTGGCCCTGACGAGCCGCCTTTTAATCTCAACCCCGAGGAGCTACAGGAGGAGCTTTCCCGCGCTTTCCGCTCCGCCAAGAAGCAGTCTAAGGTGGCGCTGCGCAAAATAGCGGACGGCACGGCGGGGGCTTTGCGCTGCGCGCAGAGCAAGGTGGCGGAGTTTGAGCGCGAGAATGACTTGCGCGGAAAGGCGCGGGACGCGGTGGGCGCGGCGAACGAGCGGCTCGAGGAGGTCGCGTTCGAGGCGGAAAGGCACGCGTTTCGGTTCGACGCGCAGTTCGGGGTTTCAAGTAGAGTGGAGGAGATGAAACGCGCGGTGGTCAGTGCGGCGTACGACGTGGACTGTAACTTGCGGATCCGACAAAGAATGCGAGACATGATCAAGGAGATACAGTACCAACTACCAAAGGTATTGCGGAAACGGAGAATATTCTCTAAAAGCTGTGCTGTCCCCTCCTACCACCGTCCGCACACTGCTTCTCTTCTCCGCACTCCCACCCCCCAGCTCCCCTCCCGCTCCCCCCCTTTTTCCCTGCCCTGCCTTTCACCGTATCCCTATCACCCGGTGGCATCCTGAGCGTAAACTCAAGTAACCCTTCTTAGCAGTCAGATATTCGTTAATCGATATACGTTTTCCCTGGCGGCGCTCTCTAAGGAGCTGAAAGAGCGCCAGGCTGCAATTGCCAAGCTAGAAGCCGCCTTCTCTCCTGCAGCGCCTCCTTCAGCTTGGCATTTGCAGCCTGGCTCTCCTCCAGATCCTTGGAGAGCGTCTGCAGCTTCTCTGACTCCAATTCCTTCTCTTGCAGCGCTTCCCTCAGCTTGGCAACTGCAGCCTAGCTTCTCCTGCCTTACTCTTTTCCGTATGCCCGCTCTTTCCCCGACTCCCCTCTCCCGCTTCCCCCTCGTCTTTCCCCGTCCCCCCCTCCCGCGCGTGCCCCCGCAGTATCTGAAGCGGTGGGCGGAGTTCAGAACCACGCCGGCCGGCCAGCTCGTCATGGTATGCTCTTCAGACCCTCACTGCTGTCTCTCCTTGCCGCATTCAGCTGCTCCCGCTCTGCTGTCTCTCATCGCTCTGCTATTTTGCTCCTTGCTGCGCAACCACGCCAGCCGGTCAGCTCGTCATGGTAGGTTCTCCAACCCCTCACTGCTGTCTCATCGCTGCTACCCTCGCTGCTGTCTCTCATCGCGTTGCCAGTCTTGCGCTCCTCGCTACTCTCATTCTCGTTCGTACTCATCGTCTCCGCTCCCCATCCTCCTCCCCCTTTTCTCCTCCTCCACTCCCTTCACGCCCTTCTCAACCCCCTCACTCTCTTCCTGCATCGCCGATCTTGCATTTTCTCGTGTGAATCGCCATTGGTCCTTCCCCGCTCCCTCAGTTCATGGTGTTCCCTTGGCTGCTCATCTCGGGCTGGCTCGAGCTTGAGAAGCCTCGCATTCTCTTCTCACGTCTTCCCTCTCGCACATTTTCCTCTCTCTCTCCTCCCTCCCTCCCTCAGTTCGTGGCGTTTGCGTGGCTGCTCATCTCAGGCTGGCTAGCGCAGATCTTCCTCTGGTCGCTCTGCATCGTCCCGCTGCTCCCTCTGCTCGCCCGGGCGCTCGCCAAAGCAGCTTTCGTTGAGGTACTGCTTGTATCATTTTCAAGCCCAGGCTTTGCTATGCGATATTCCTCTCCGCTGCTTGCTACCCGAAACTTTCTGTGTGTGATTTTCCTCACGGTATGTTTTTGTTGATGGTAGATTTTGATGCTGAACCTATTTCACAGCGTCCCCTGCTTCCGTTCCCCCCTCACAAAGTTTCTAACTCGCTTTTTCTCCCATCCTCGCCTTTTCTCCCAGGGTGATTGCCCCTCGTGTGGAGTTCGTTTCATCGGCCCGCGGCGCGAGCTGCTGATTTGCCGGGGATGCCACCACGTGGTGTGGACGCCCAAGGGCTGGGGATTCCCCAAAAAAACTCAAAGCTCTGCTGCTAGCAGCACCAACAGCAGCGGCAGCGGAGACAGCAAGAGAGGTCCGAGCGCGGGGAAGAATAAGCGCAGTGCACGTGGTGGTGGTGATGACGGCGAGGTGGATATTATTGATGTTGTGGCCATCAGCCCAGGAGCAGCTTAGATCTGCCGAGGATGCCACCACGTGGTGTGGTGTGGACGCCCAAGGGCTAAGAAACGCTCAAAACGCGGCTTCTAGAAACAGCAACAGCAGCTCCAGCCGCGACAGCAACGACAGCAACTGTGATATGAGCGGTGGCGGTGCGGGGAAGAATAAGCGTAGTGCACATGGTGGTGGTGGTGGTGATGCGAGGTTGATATTATTGATGTTGTGGCCATTAGTTCAGCACGAGCTTAGATTGAAAAGGTGTACAGTGGGTAGCACTGGCAACAGAGTTTGGTTGCCACCTTTATTAGGTGTGGCTAATAGTTAAAGGGTGCAGCTTAGCTTATAAAAAGAAATACATAGTACATTTTGCTGCAGCGACCAGGTGGCTTGTGCAACTACTGTAAGGTCCTCTCCTCCAGTAGAGAGCGTTGGATCAGAGCTGAAGATTGAACTAGATCCAGTATATTGTCAAAATATGGGATTGAAACTTCAGTACTATGAAGGGTGTGAGAGTGACATGGCATCACCAATTTCCTCGAATGCAAACTTGCTGCTGGGCTAGCGTGTGTGACCATACCCAGGGTGACCATACAAATTTGGCCATTTCATTGAACCATGGGACGTTTTCAGTTTCACGAATTGGCCAACCACCATATTTCAGGCTTCAACAACAGCCCATCCTTGGAGCATGGGGTGAGTAGCTCTCTTTTTATCCCGTTTCATATTTCATTTGTTGCGCCCCGTTAGGGGCACTCCAAAAATTGTGATATGCCGCTTAGCGAGGAACACACACGGTATTCTTTAGTAAAAGGCGAAAGAATAGTTCGCTATGTGTGTAACTCACGGCTGATGTCTTCACATGGATTTTTCCGATTATTTGAGACTCAATGAATATCCCGAACGACTCTGCGTTGTGGGATGGTTTGCAACCTATTGGCGCACGTGGCACTTGGATTCTGGGGGACAGAAAAGTATGGAAACATCCTCTCGGTCCCCCAAGCCATTCAGTTCACATGCAAGCGATTTCAAAGAACGGTTTGGGGGACTCGAGCAACCGTAGGTAATCGGCTAGACTCGCGTTTGATGCCGCCTCTTGCGCTACCATAGACGCTACCCCCTGCTCCGTACTCTTCCCGCCAGCTCGTCTGAATGTTACTCCCGCGCTCCGCGATAATAAAGTGTTTTTGAGACGTCTCAAAGACGCTCCCTCCTGCGCCGAGCACTCCCCGCCGGCTCGTCTGAATGTTACTCCCGCGCTTCGCACGATCCCTCGCCGCCGATCCCGCAACCTCCTTCCTGCGCGACTCGCGGTCTCTCGTCGTGACTGCCGCTTTGCGCGCGCTTGCCTCCGCGCAGCAGCCACTTGCGCGCAGCATTCCGACCCTACTTGCGCGCAGCATTCCGACCCTACTTGCGCGCAGCATTCCGAACCTCTCTGTCGCATCGCGTTTCGTGACGTCTTCTAAGGCCCTTCAAAATTCGCGTGGTGTGACATCTGAATCCGCGCAGCAGCCACTCGCGCGCAACGTTCCCACCATCTCCGGAGCACCGCGCCGCTCCTTGAGCCGATCTCAACACTCGCACACCACCTTCGCAGCAATGTCCCCGCTCCCTCTAGGTCGTTCCACGTCAGCCGTTGCCACGTCAGCTCTAGCCAGTTCTGCGGCTCACCTCAGTTGTCGTTCTAGATTCGGGATTTTCTCACAACAGAACGCTCTTTTTCCACTCCATAATTTTCTGGACGTTAAATCTTCTCCATTTTCGGGCGTGTCAGTGTTAGTAGCCACCCCAGCAACACCTTCGGTTACTCCGGGTAACTCCAGAATAAGCATCCGAAGCAGCGGCAGCAGCAGCAGCAGCAGCAGCAGCAGTGGCCGTGGTTTTGGGAGCAGCAGCGGCAGCAGCGTACGCAGTCGCGAGGGGGGGAAGACGGAAAATAGGCCCAAAAGTACGGGCAGTAGCAGCAGTCAGAGTAAGGCTGTTAAGAGCACCAAGACTACTAAAAGTACTAAGAGCAGACCCCATGGTAATCCCAAGGGTGGCACAAAACCCAAACCGGCTGCTAAACCTAGCTCCAACCCTCCTGCCAGACCAGCTCCGAAGCAGCAAGGCGGACCGGAGGCTGATTCCTTGCAGTTTCGGGAGAGACGAACCACTGGAGGTTCGGGAGTTAGGTTTGAGGGGCTTGAGGAACGATATGTTCCATTGGGGGAGGAGAGGCGTGACTATAACGAGGGGGACTTCGAAGAGGAGGACGATTGGGAGGAAAAGGACGAAGGCGAGTGGGAAGGAGGCGATGCTGAGGTGGAACGAGCCCTTGCTGAGTCAGAACAGGAGCTCTCCACGGGCAGTTTGGTGCTGCCGCCCGGACGGCAAGCCCCGCGGGTGAAATCGGCAGTGTTTGTGAAGAGCAGCAGCAGTGTGGCGCAGTGCCCTAAGGATACGAAGATACCCGAATTTGCTGTGATTGGCCGGTCCAATGTGGGGAAATCTTCTCTCATTAACATGCTGACCAATCATAAGGGGCTCGCACAGACTTCCAAGAAACCAGGTGAGTGAAGTTCAGCTTGGAGAGGTTCAGGGTTTTGAGGGTTTAGGTTTCAAGGTTTATACGTTCTGGCTCAATACGCAAGCCCCGCGGGTGAAAGTGAAATCGGCAGTATTTGTGAAGAGCAGCAGCAGTGTGGCGCAGTGCCCTAAGGATACCAAGATCCCGGAGTTTGCTGTGATTGGTCGGTCGAATGTGGGGAAATCGTCGCTCATCAACATGCTGACCAATCATAAGGGGCTAGCTCAGACCTCCAAGAAACCTGGTGAGCTTGTTGGGGTTGGGATTTGAGTGCTTGAGGTTCAGCTTTGAAGTCTTAAGGCTTGAGTTGCAAGCCTGGGGGAGGAGTGGGGGGGAGGGATCGCCAGTAGTATTTGTGAAGAGCAGCAGCAGTGTGGCGCAGTGCCCCAAGGATACGAAGATCCCGGAGTTTGCTGTGATTGGTCGGTCCAATGTGGGAAAATCGTCGCTTATCAACATGCTGACGAATCATAAGGGGCTCGCACAGACGTCCAAGAAACCAGGTGAGTAAAGTTCAGCTTTGAAGGTTTGAGAAATTGAGGGTTTAGGGTTTGACGCTTTGAAAGTTCCGGCCCGGGCGGCAAGCCCTGCGGGTGACTTTTGAGTCGACTCAAAAGTCTCTCCACGGGCAGTCTGGTGCTGCCGCGCGGGCGGCAGGCCCCGCGGGTGAAATCGGCTTTTGAGACGTCTCAAAATGCACCTCAGTTCCGGCCGGGCGGCAAGCCCCGCGGGTGAAATCGGCTTTTGAGACGTCTCAAAATGCACCTCAGTTCCGGCCGGGCGGCAAGCCCCGCGGGTGAAATCGGCTTTTGAGACGTCTCAAAATGCACCTCAGTTCCGGCCGGGCGGCAAGCCCCGCGGGTGAAATCGGCTTTTGAGACGTCTCAAAATGCACCTCAGTTCCGGCCGGGCGGCAAGCCCCGCGGGTGAAATCGGCTTTTGAGACGTCTCAAAATGCACCTCAGTTCCGGCCGGGCGGCAAGCCCCGCGGGTGAATCGGCTTTTGAGACGTCTCAAAATGCACCTCAGTTCCGGCCGGGCGGCAAGCCCCGCGGGTGAAATCGGCTTTTGAGACGTCTCAAAATGCACCTCAGTTCCGGCCGGGCGGCAAGCCCCGCGGGTGAAATCGGCTTTTGAGACGTCTCAAAATGCACCTCAGTTCCGGCCGGGCGGCAAGCCCCGCGGGTGAAATCGGCTTTTGAGACGTCTCAAAATGCACCTCAGTTCCGCCCGGGCGGCAGCCCCGCGGGTGAAATCGGCTTTTGAGACGTCTCAAAATGCACCTCAGTTCCGGCCGGGCGGCAAGCCCCGCGGGTGAAATCGGCTTTTGAGACGTCTCAAAATGCACCTCAGTTCCGGCCGGGCGGCAAGCCCCGCGGGTGAAATCGGCAGTATTTGTGAAGAGCAGCAGCAGCGTGGCGCAGTGCCCCAAGGATACCAAGATACCTGAATTCGCTGTGATTGGTCGATCCAATGTGGGGAAATCTTCCCTCATTAACATGCTGACCAATCATAAGGGGCTCGCACAGACTTCCAAGAAACCAGGTGAGTGAAGTTCAGCTTGGAGAAGTTAAGGGTTTAGGGTTTGAGGCTTTAAACGTTCTGGCTCGATACGCAAGCCCCGCGGGTGAAAGTGAAATCGGCAGTATTTGTGAAGAGCAGCAGCAGCGTGGCGCAGTGCCCCAAGGATACCAAGATCCCGGAGTTTGCTGTGATTGGCCGGTCCAACGTGGGGAAATCGTCGCTTATCAACATGCTGACCAATCACAAGGGCCTTGCACAGACGTCCAAGAAACCAGGTGAGTAAAGTTCAGCTTTGAAGGTTTTAAAAATTGAGGGTTTAGGGTTTGAGGCGTTGAAAGTTCCGGCCCGGGCGGCAAGCCCCGCGGGTGAAATCGGCAGTATTTGTGAAGAGCAGCAGTAGCGTGGCACAGTGCCCTAAGGATACCAAGATCCCGGAGTTTGCTGTGATTGGCCGGTCGAATGTGGGGAAATCTTCCCTCATCAACATGCTGACGGATCACAAGGGGCTTGCACAGACTTCCAAGAAACCAGGTGAATAAAGTTCAGCTTGGAGAGGTTCAGGGTTTTAAGGGTTTAGCTTTTAAGGTTTATAGGTTTGGGCTCAAGTTGCAAGTCCCGCAGGTGAAAGTGAAATCGGCAGTATTTGTGAAGAGCAGCAGCAGCGTGGCGCAGTGCCCTAAGGATACCAAGATCCCGGAGTTTGCTGTGATTGGCCGGTCCAACGTGGGGAAATCTTCCCTTATCAACATGCTGACGAATCACAAGGGGCTCGCACAAACGTCCAAGAAACCAGGCGAGTAGGGTTGATTTGATGATCTGAGGGTTTCCCTAGCATCAAGGTTTAGGGTCGGGTTCTGGGTTCAACAGTTCTCCATTGCTTCCAATGTGGGGAAATCGTCGCTCATCAACATGCTTACGAATCATAAGGGGCTAGCACAGACGTCCAAGAAACCAGGTGAGTAGGGTTGATGATTAGAGAGTTGTTGGCGTTAAGGCTTAGGGTTTGAAGGCGTGGGTTTCAACGTTCTCCCTTGCTTCCAAAGTGCTGACCAATTCGTCCTCATAAAAATCGTCCCTCATAAAAATGCTGACCACGTTCCAAGGGCTTGAACGGGCGTTCAAGAAACCAGAAGCGCTCAAAGTAAAGGGTATTGGGTGGAAGGGTTTGAGGGTTTCGGTCGTTACTCGTGACGCCCCCCCTTGCTGTGATCGTTATCGTCCCTCATCAACATACCGACCAATCATGAAAGGCCACCTCAATCGTCTAAGAAAAAAGGTGAGCTGGGTAGGGTTGAAGGTTTAGGGCTGGAGTTGTGTAGGGTTCAGGGGTTTGAAATTTAGGGTTCATTGCAATCCTCCCTCATCAACATGCTGATTAACCATCCAAAGTCTCTGTGGTATCCACTTTCCTCTCTCCTTCCTCTCCCCGTCCTCCCTTCCCCCATTCTCCCATTTTCCCCATTTCCCCCTTTCCCCTTCCCTCTTCCCCATTTCCCTTTCCCCTTTGCCCATGCCCCGTTTCCTCTTTCTGTACCCCATTCTGGCCCCCAGGCAAGACACAGCTGATAAACCACTTCCTTATCAACGACTCCTGGTATCTCGTGGATTTGCCAGGCTATGGGTGAGTGAGTGACGGTTATTGCTGTTGCTACTCCATTGTCCTCCTCCTCCTCCTCCTCCTCCTCCTCCTCCTCCTCCTCCTCCTCCTCCTCCTCCTCCTCCTCCTCCTCCTCCTCCTCCTCCTCCTCCTCCTCCTCCTCCTCCTCCTCCTCCTCCTCCTGCTGCTGCTGTTGCTGCCACTGGCACTGCTGCTGCGTCTGCTGCTCCTGCCGCTGCCGCTTCTTCTTTGTTTGCTGATGCTGTTGTCCCCCCGCTCCTTTCCTCTCCATTCCTGCAGATATGCAGTGGCACCCACCGCCATCCGACTTTTGAGGCGCCTCAAAAGGATATGCAGTGGCACCCACCGCCATCCTTTTGAGGCGCCTCAAAAATGGCACCCACCGCCATCCGAACAGAGTGGAACGCTTTTACAAAGGCCTACTTCACCTCTCGCACCATCCTGCTCACCGTGCTGCTGCTACCGTTGCTGTTATTCCCCTTCTTTCCTCCACATGCCAGATACGCCGTTGCACCCAATGCCATACGCACGGAGTGGAATGCGTTCACCAAGGCATACTTCACCGCTCGCCCCAACCTGCTCACCGATTTGCTGCTACTGATGCTGCTGCTGACCCTCCCTTTCTCCAACGTGTCATGCCCCATCCTGCTAATGCAAGATACGCTGTCTCACCCAATGCCATCCGCACGGAGTGGAATGCGTTCACCAAGGCCTACTTCACCTCGCGCACCAACCTGCTCACCGTGCTGCTGCTGCTGCTATGCCATCCCCTGTCTTCCCACTACCAGCTATGCAGTGGCACCTAACGCCATAAGGACAGAGTGGAACGCTTTTACCAAGGCCTACTTCACATCGCGCACTAACCTGCTCACCGTGCTGCTGCTGCTGCTGCTGCTGCTGCTGCTGATGGTGGTGGTGGTCGTTCTATTCCCTCCCCTGTCGTCCCCATTCGTGCAGCTATGCTGTGGTACCTAATGCCGTTCGCACGGAGTGGAACGCTTTCACCAAGGCCTATTTCACCTCGCGCACCATCCTGCTCACCGTGCTGCTGCTGCTTCTTTGTCTGCTCGCTGTTGTCCTTCCTTCCTTCCCTCCTGTACCAGATACGCGGTTGCACCCAATGCCATTCGCACCGAGTGGAATGCCTTTACCAAGGCCTACTTCACCTCGCGCACCAACCTGCTCACCGTGCTGCTGCTGGTCGATGCCACCATTCCGCCTCAAGCCATTGACATTGAATGCGCTGACTGGCTAGGGAGGAACAAGGTGGGTGGCGTTGACTTGGGTTGACTTTGGTTGACTTCGGTTGAACATCGCGCACCAACCTGCTCACCGTGCTGCTGCTGGTGGATGCTACCATTCCGCCTCAAGCCATCGACGTGGAGTGCGCTGACTGGCTGGGAAGGAACAAGGTGGGTGTCCTTGACCTGGGTTGACCTGGGTTGACTTTGGTTGACCGTCGCGCACCAACCTGCTCACGGTGTTGCTGCTGGTGGATGCTACCATTCCCCCGCAAGCTATTGACATTGAATGCGCTGACTGGCTGGGGAGGAACAAGGTGGGCTGGGACCCAGGTCCTGGGTTGACTTGGGTTGACTTGGATTGACTTTTGTTGGCCATCGCGCACCAACCTGCTCACTGTGTTGCTGATTTTGGTGCTACTGTTCCCCCACAAGCCATCGACATGGAGTGCGCTGACTGGCTGGAAGAAACAAGGTGGGTGCTGTGTCGCTAAATGGTCTGGTTCATCTCAGTTGATGAGATGAGTCTGTTGTCGAAAACCTCTGTTGTGGTGTGGTGTCACTTTGAGACGTCTAAAAAGAACCACTGTTGTGGTGTGGCCTCTAAGAGAGGGGCAGTTGAATAAGTCTCTCTGAACTGGTGCCACTGTCACCTTCACCATGTGTCACCTTCACTGGGGGCGTGACAACAAGTGCACAAGGGGCGTCTCTCGAATCTGCAGAGGGGCAGTATGGAGAAATTTACAACGAGGGACGAAGGGGGGTTGTCTTTTCTACACCCTTGCATGTGTCCCCATTCTTCCCCTTCTCGTAACTCTCTCCTTTTCTCACTCATCTCTCCCCCCAGATCCCCCTCACCGTCGTGTTCACCAACTGCGATCGCCAGAAGAAGGCCCGGGGGAGAGGTGCGATTTGGCCAACGTGAGCCACCTCCCCTCTACCCCCGTTTCCTCTACCCTCCTCCTTCCCCAGATCCCCCTCACCGCCGTGTTCACCAACTGCGATCGCCAGAAGAAGGCCAGGGGGAACGTAAGGAGGGCACGAGGGCATACGGGCAGAAGGCCAGAAGGAGAGGTTCTTACCCTGATACCTTCACGTATTCTCTTCCCCTCTCCCCCCAGATCCCCCTCACCGTGGTGTTCACCAAGTGCGATCGCCAGAAGAAGGCCAGGCAGAAGGTCAGAAGGGCACAAGGCCAGAAAGAGAGGTGCTTACACTAGATTCCTTGTGTGTCCTCCCCCTCCTCCCCCCACCAGATCCCCCTCACTGTCGTGTTCACCAAGTGCGACCGCCAGAAGAAGGCGCGGCGGAACGGCCGCCCGCCAGCTGTCAACGCGGCGCTGTGTGCTCCCATCTTCCCCCTTCCTCTTCCCCTGCTCCCCAGATCCCCTCCCCTGCTGTCTTCACCACTTGCACCCACCGCAAGAAGGCCATCAGGGCACGAGAGAAGGTGTTTGTTTTACTTCATGCATTTTCCTTCCATCCTCCCCCCCCCATCTCCTTCCCCTAGATCCCCCTCACGGTCGTGTTCACCAAGTGCGATCGCCAGAAGAAGGCACGGAGGAACGGCCGCCCGCCAGCTGTCAACGCGGCGCTGTTCCGCGCTGAGCTGGCGGAGTGCTACGCTGAGCTGCCGCCATGGGTGATGACGAGTGCAGTGACAGGGGAGGGGAAGGACGCGCTGTTAGGTCATATTGCACAACTCAGGGAGTACTGGCGGCGGTAATGGTGGGATATGGTGTGGTGCGGTGAGGCATGGTGCTGTGTGGTGTCCTGTGGTGTGGCTGTCACAGTACAAAAGCTGGCGCAGTGCTACGCTGAGCTGCCACCGTGGGAGATGACGAGTGTGGTGACAGGGGAGGGAAAAGATACTCTGTTGACCCATATAGCACAGCTGAGGGAGTACTGGTGGCGGTAGTGACGTGGTGCTGTGCGGTGGTGTGTGGTTGGGATGTAACAATACAGAGCTGGCGGAGTGCTATGCTGAGCTGCCGCCGTGGGTGATGACGAGCGCGGTGACTGGGAGGGGAAGGACGCATTGTTAGCCCATATTGCACAGCTCAGGGAGTTCTGGCGGCGGTAGTGGTGGGGTTTGGTGTGGTCTGGTATGGTGTGGTGTGGTGCTTTGTGGCGTCCTGTGGTGGGGCGGCTGCAATACAATAGTTGGCGGAGTGCTACGCTGAGCTGCCGCCGTGGGTGATGACGAGTGCAGTTACCGGGGAGGGGAAGGATGCTCTGTTGGGTCATATTGCACAACTGAGGGAGTATTGGCAGCGGTAGTGGAGTTGAGTGGAGTCGTGATGCGCTGCCGCCTTGGGTGATGACTAGTGCGGTGACGGGGGATGGGAAAGATGCGTTGTTAGGTCATATTGCGCAGCTTAGGGAGTATTGGCGGCGGTAGTGGCATCTCACTTGTGTGGGGATTGCTTATACACATGTTTTTAACTGCCAACTCTGGTACCAGTTTTTACAATCGCAGTGCATTCACAGTGTGGGCAGCAGTGCCACTCAAGTCATTGCTGCTGGGGTGTTGATCTAGCAGCTTGGGAACATAGCACCGCTTGGGTGCAGAGGCATAGAACATGTGTTCTTGAACTGCCAACTCCGCTATTCACAATCACAGCCGCAGTGCATTCACAGCGTGGGCAGCAGCATCACTCAAATCGTTGCTGCTGGGGTGTTGGTCTAACAGCTTGGGAACATAACACCGCTCGGGTGCAGAGGCATAGAACGCATGCTCCTTAACTGCCAACTCTGGTGTTCACAATCACAGCCTCAGTGCATTCACAGCGTGGGCAGCAGCGTCACTCAAGTCGTTGCTGCTAGGGTGCTGATCCAGCAGCTTGGGCACATAACACCGCTCCGGTGCAGTGGCTTACAATCCTTTCTAGACTGCCATGCCAACTCTGGTACAGTTTTCACAGTCTCAATGCATTCACAGC